ACACATACACATACATGCATACATGCATACATGCATACATGCATACATGCATACATGCATACTGCATACATCCATTGGTGGTAAGGTTCAAAACCGTTCATAATGTCAATCTGAACGAATGAACTAACGATGGCCTACAGGTTGCATGTCACAGCAGCTAAAGTGAAAGGCCGGTATTTAACGGCTTAGCCCAAAGTCGTTTGGGACCCTACCCGTCATCGCGGTAAACTGAATGGTGTAACACACCTAAACCCCCTAAACCCCCCCTGAACCCCAAACCCCTACACCCTAAACCCGATTCTTTAGATTGTGAACCCTAGGCCCTATTCTATAGATTCTAAACCCACAAGCACCCCTCTTCCCATCCCGTCCAGGAGGCCGCTTTCCACCGGATCCTCGCCTTCCTCTCTGCTTGTTCGGATCGTGGCTTCGGGGTGTTTCGTTACGGGGTAGTAGGGGTTAGGGCCGGTTAGGGTTTAGGGTTAGGGGTCTTAGGGGTTTTATCAAAGGGGCTGAATAGTTTCGAAGTGGGGGTTCGGGGGTTTGGTGTTTGGGCTTTGGGTTTAGGGGTTGAAGTCTGGGTTGTTGGGGCTCTGAAGAAGCCGTGGCCTTAGGGCGTCGGACTCAGAGACGATCTACAAGGACTAGGGTTGCCTCTTAATTGTGTTTTTGTACACCTCAAAACCCTATTCTACTTATTGAGCCCCTATATTACAAGGACTAGAGCTGCCTCTTGAGGGCTCCGGGGGCCCAAGGGCCGAGCACTTGTCGCTTTGGGCCTTCGGTGCTGAGCCAAGCGGAGAAGCGGTTAAGCAAGCCTAAACCCGAAACCCGAAACCCCCTAAAGCGTCAACCCTAAAACCCAAACTCTAAACGGCCTAACCCCAAACCCTGAACCTTCCACCAAGGCCCGACCAGCCACCTGCCTTTGGAGGAGGCGGCCTCTCATCAAACTTGATGGCACACTCGCGATGTAGCCACCTCAAAGGAAAAGCTTACTGCTTTGCACGGTTGTTTTAACCTCTCCCGCACCGCAATCTCTAAACCTAAAGAGCTAAGCACTTTAGATCTAGCTGTCCGAGCCACTGGATCATGTCGTCCGGCTGTCGGGAGCCCTGATACATGACCTGCCAGGACAACGAGTACTCAAGACCAGAAGGCCTTTAGGCTTCGCATTGACGGTTTATAAGGTCTACCATGAGCGTTTGGGGTCCTCAGCTTTACGGTGTCGGTTCGTCTTGCTCCTGAACTGTCCGTGTCTGAACGAATCACGAGCACGGTCATGTTACGGGGCTAGCAGCATGGCAGAGTTGAGCCATAAGACCGAAGCCCCTAAACTTAGGGCAAGGATCCCAACTCAAGCTTTCCCGGTACGGCCGGTGTGAAGTTTGGGGCTTCTGCACCGTATCAAGGGCAGACTTCCGAACACCCCATCTCAGCCCACAACACATCCTGGGATACCTGGTTCGAGAGCAGTGATACGCGATCAGGAAAAAAGTACACTGGCACAATTCCACCAGCAACCCGCAAATGGACTCGCCGAAAAAAGTGATCTGGAAGGCAACGCACAACTTTTCGCCTGTTCAACGTCTTCGGGGCTGCAGTGCGGTATGGCTTCATTTTTGGGGGTGAGTTGGGGCTTCCTTCTTTGGATTCAGGGTTTAGGATACGCTTGCGGCCCTAAATCCTGAACCTTAAGACTTAAAGCCTACACCGCAAACCCTACGGCCTAAACCCTAACACATAAACTCGAAATCCTGAAATGTAAATAGCAAACCCTAAACCCTGAAGCCTACACCCTAAATCCTCACCCTGAACCCTAAAGCCTAAATCCTAACCGTAAAGGCCCTAAACCCTACAGCCTAAATCCTAATCCTCACCCGAAACCCGAAAGCCTCGACCCTAAGCTCAGGACGGTGCGTGTCGCTTTGGGGATGCCCCCGCGGGGAAGAGCATGATGGTCGGGAAGCCCATGATCTGCATGCCCTCCACCTCGTTCGGGGCATGGGGTTTAGGGGTTTCTGGTGTAGGGGTGCCTCTGCATGTAGGTTTCGGGTTTTGGGTCTTCGAGTTGCAAGGACTTTGAAGCTTAATTCAGGGATTTTGAGACTCTGGACACCTGGATCACAGCTTCAAGCAGCGGCAAAGTAGAATTCAACTGGCCCTCGCCAACAAGCCATCTACCCAAACAAAGAGCAGCAGCAATCATACCGACAACACCGCTTGCAGTTTTCTGGAAACTTCTGTCTGCGAGGTCAGAAGAAGTTAAACAGGAAGACCCCAGAGAGTGCAGATAGAGGAAGAACCCTGGACAGTCAACCCAAATAAACCTGCAACTATGTCCAAAGAACGGAAATTTACTTATTATACCGTAGCATGCTATGTTCAACCTTCCGGATGGAGATGATCGGGTCGAGCCCTGGGCTTACTTGGGATGCCTCGTTGCGGGTCGCATCGATCTTCATGATCTTCAAGGATTTGACATGCCGCAGCTTCCTTCCAACCGGCACCAAAAATGGCCAGGGAAGCAGACAACGGATTCTCAGAGGAAGGAATCCTAGCAAAGCTCTCTTAAGCCTTCTTGAGGTGTCCGACCACAACGTTAGGAGTGTCCTTTAGGACGAATTAATGTCTTCTGTTGGGATGTGTTAGTTTCTGGGGTTTCCAAAAAACCAAAAGCCCGAAGCCCCAAAACTTTCTATCCTTAGCCCGTGCAAACACCAGACAGACCACAAAGCTCCTCCCCCCTCCCCAAAAAAGAGGCACAGACCCTTCAACCCCAAAGCTTTATGATACTGTGCCACAAAACGAACCCAGAAAGCAAACCAAAAACCCACAAAAACACTACAAACAGAACATCAAAGCGAAACCAGTCTTCCTCCCCCTCCCCCCAACACAGAAAAACACACAAGGCAGGAACTCAAGGGCCGGTGCTTTGCAAGCTCTTTGTACAGCGGCTCGAACTTCCGACAGTGCCCGCACCTCAAGAGTCGGAAGCGGCTTCAAGGGCTGGCTTCGGGTTCAGGGTTTTCTGGAATTTAGGTTTAGGGTTTAGGGTTTAGGGTTTAGGTCGAAAGGCTACGGTTCTTCTTAAACTTCTTGCGGCTTAGGATTGTCGGGTCTAGAGAGCTTAGTGGGCCTAGTGCCTCTTGAGAAAGGTGCAGGGCCAGAAAATGGCAGCTTCTTTTCCTCCTTCCTCAGACAGCTTCGGGCCACCTCGCAGACCTCGCCTTAGATGGAACCTCGGCTAGTGGAGCTCCCTCCTGATTCTCCTCCGCAAGGTGCGAGAGGCCCCGGACCTGCCTTTCTGCGCTCTTTGCTGACCTTGTTCCTGTTCCTCGATGCTCAAAGGATCCATGCTCAAACGAAGATGTGGACTCCTACCTGCACATCCCTCCGACAGATGGGACAGGACCCACGCATGGCCGTGACGAAAGAAGCACAGTCCATACAAACACAGAGGTGTCCACAAGGAAGGAAGGCATGAGACTTCCCACGATCCAGACAGATGCAGCACTCCCCGAGCTCCAGCTCCTCAGCGCGCGATCCGACATTCCGTGCTGCACCGGTTTCGTTCTTTCGTGGCAGGGCCTCCAGCACGGCGACGACCGCGTCGGCTGCACGTCGACTTCTGCACGCAGCCACGAGGCTCCGCGCCCCGCCGTAGCCTGGCGAGAGGAACAGCTCCTGCGCCCTCGCATCGCTCATTGCGTGCTGCAGGACATGGCAGGCGCAAAGCACCAGCTCCTCCCTCTCTTCCGGGGCGTCTCCCTGCAAGTCTTCCTCTGCGGCACCAAGAATGTCGCGGAGGCACTCCAGTGCTGCCGGGTGCAGTGACACCACTCCGTCGGTTCCGTCTAGGATAGCGTCCAGCCTTCGGAGGCTCTCCGCGATCTCCAGCTTCAGCTGGGCCATTTGCGCCGCCACCAGACGTGCCATGACCTGATCCAGCTGCGTCACTTCCAGCCATGCCCAAAGCTCTCCGTGCAGAAGCACTGGCACATGAAGGCTGAGAAAGGCCAAGTAAGCCTCCAAGCTCTGCCGCCGTCGCTCCAGGAACCGGGCGTCGAAGTTGGCCAAGATCCGGTAGGAAGGCAACTGGGCCAGGGAGTAGCCGAAGCTTTGCCTTGAGAGGTGCTTGTGGAGCTCCTGGAATTCCGAGTAGCGCCGTAGCACCGTGTGTGCCCGGCATGGGCTCTCGACCACCAAGGTGTATGCCACGTGCTTGTCGACTAAGCCCTCAGTCTGAAACCGAGGGATTCGGACGGAGATCGGGGCTGACTCCAGGAGCTGCACGGTGGGCCGCGGCTCACGCAGCATGCACCGCCATGATGTCCGGAAGCTTGGATGTTTGGCTCCTATTCTGCGCACTTCTAGGCTCTATGATCGCTTGTTCGGCCTGAATTCTGTTTGGCAGTATCATAGGACACTATACACAGCTACATTTACATGCGATCGAAGATTGTGGTATAGCACTGCATGCATGTGATTGCAGTTTGCGTTCGTATAGTGGCCACGTACTACAGTGCACCGTATAATCCGAACGGCAACTGCAGTTGCTTATCCTACGTTCGATGGCACCATCGATTTACGTAGTGCTACGTAGCACTACGCAGTGTTACATATCACCAGCTTCTCGATACAATTGCTGATTCTGAGATCCTGGCCAGGGTGCGTAGAAGTCCACCATGACATCCTCCGAGGTCGAACGTTGCAGAGTTGATACCCCCAGTCCCAGACCCTAAACAAACACGCTAAACACTCGAAGAACCTAAGACCCTACACACTGAACAATGAGCCTTCGGACACACAATCCTAAACCCATCAACCCTTCCGGACCACAGAGCTACTTACGTCGCTACGAGCTCAAATCCATCGGACTTGCTCCATTGTCATAACCAATGCTGGTGTAACCATCGCAGTTGCTGGTATCATTGATGCGCTGATGGCCAATTATATCATCATCATCAATAACAACGTCATCACCATCATCATCATTATCATCTTCATCTTAATCGTCATCGCCATCGTCATCGTCATCATCATCATCATCATCCTAGCATCAACAACAATAGCAGCAGCAACAACAACAGCAGCAACAACAACAACAACAGCAGACGCAACAGCAACAGCAAAAGCAGCAGCAGCTGCTGCAACAACAACACCAACAGCGACAGCGACAGCGACAGCGACTGCGACTGCGACTGCGACTGCGACTGCGACTGCGACAGCAACAGCAACAGCAACAGCAACAGCAACAGCAACAACAACAAACTGATGATGTTGGCGACTGGCTCTCAATGTTGTCCTCGCCACTATCCTGACCATTGGAATTTCCAACTCCGAAACGATGTGAAACGATATGAACTCCCATATAGAAGCCCTCGGACGTTGAAAACCTGTGTTGCATCCAACCCAACGGCCAAAATCAAAACAAAACACCAAATCTCGAAAGATACTAACAACGAAAAAACACAAAAACCTTAAGCTTCTCACCCTCCGCCCCGAACCTCGAAACCCTAACCGGCCCCCTCTCAAAAAAGAGCTCCCTTCCTCTTGAAAGGAAGAAAAGGTGAGCCCAGGGATCGAAAGCCCAGGCCTTGGAGTCATCCTCGACGGTCTTGCGGAAGTTGGTTCCCACCAAGACCCCCACGGGGCCGCCGATCCGGATGTCCTGCTTGGGTGTGTATTACATAATGTATGTGTATATATACATACACACTGTGAGTGTTTGGGGCTTACGGTTTAGAGTTGAGGACCTGTATGCCTTCTACAACTTTTATTCAATTGGCTCCATGAGGGTTCGAGGGCTGTCTCCAAACTTCCAAAAGGGCTCGAGGGTGACGTGTCGTGGGTTGCATCAGCATTCGATGGTTATGGAAGGGTTTGCCCTGAGGGGCCGAGGTTGGTTTCACATTCCCGCAGCATTGCCCTGCAATCCTCAACAAGCCGCCTTCAAGCCGCCCCAAACTCCAAACCACAACACCCTAAAGTATTCAAACTGCACACCTTCCCCAAGACCCCAAGCCTTACAACCCAAAAGCCTTCTTCAGCCCAAAATCTCCAGACCTTAACAACCCCAAGCCCAAAACCTACACCCCGAACCTCATGCAAATACCAGAAACAACCAACCCCCCAAACCCCCCAACTTTTAACCGCAAGGCAGATTCTTAAACCCCAAACCCTAAACTCTGAGACTCCGAAACCCTGAAACCCTAAACCTCAAAGCCCGAAAAACTTCGAAACCCGAAAACCGTGAACCCCTACACCGCAGAGAGCCTCAGCTGAAGGCTCGGGCTCGCTCTTGAGCCAAGGCTCCAGCCTGGTGAGGGCCAAGGGCTCTCACGGAGAGGTTTAGGGTTTAGGGTTTAGGATTTTAGAGGTTTAGGGTTTAGGCTCTAGGGTTTAGGGTTTAGGATTTTAGGGGTTTAGGGCTTTAGGGTTTAGGGTTTTAGGGTTTAGGGTTTATGGTTTTAGGGTTTGGAGTTTTAGGGTTGAGGGTTGAGGGTTGAGGGGTTTAGGGGCCCTAACAAAGACTTTTCTGAGGTTTTCTGAAACATCTAGAAGGATTTGCATAGAAACTTTCGGGGTTCTATAAGGGGGGGGGGTGAGTCAAGGCTTAGGGTCTAAGGTTGAGAATGGTCTAGGCTGTAAGGCAGGGTTCAAGGCTTCCGGGCCAAAAAGCGTGGAGTATTCAGGGCGTCAGTATTCGGGTTCAGCGCTCCGGGTTGAGAATCTAGGCTTGACGGCTGAGGTGTTGCGGGCTGACAGTGTAGTCTTTTCTAAAGCAGCAGCAGTAGCAGTGGCAGCAGTAGCAGCAGTGGCAGTATCAGTGGCAGTAAGAGCAGTAGTAGGTCGTCCTCGTCGTCATGGTAGTCTTAGTAGTAGTCGTCGTCGTCGTCGCAGGAGGGGAAGGCAGAGGACAGTAGCAGTAGGAGTACGAACACGAGCAGTAGCAGCAGCAACAGGAGCAGCAGCAATAGCAGCAACAGGAGGAGCCCGAGGAAGGGGCGGATCATCAGCAGCAACTGTTTCAGTACTACTCGACTATCAGCACACGGTTAGAAGAATGAACAGCCAAGATCACGCACGAATCTCGGGCTGGCCTGTTACCTTCGTAGTCTGTGACGAAACCGACGACCTTGTCGACGCTGAGGCCTGCCAGCCGGATTTCTGTGAAAAGGCTCGAGTAAGGTGGCTACAATACTACTGCGACTTGACATACAATGACAGTAAAACATAATCGCAAGAACAACATTGCCCTATTGAAGCAGCAAGTTTGCGGTGATTAGGATCTGGGCTGACGCTGCCCCAAAATACCTCAACCCTTAACCCTCAACCCGAACTGCGGACCAGAAATCCTGAACCCTATTCCTAAACCACAAACCCTCAACCCTGTACCCCGAACCCTGAACCCTATGGCCTAATCCCTGAACCCTGGCCCCACGAGACCCAAACGTCCCAAGGAGCCTTCCAGCGACAGGCGGAACTTCCGTGCAGCATGGTATTGGCCCGTAGGACCGGTGCCGGAGTGTGTCTGCCACAGCTTTTCAGGGTTTAGGGTTGTAGGGTTTAGGGTTGGTATAGGGGCCGTAATATCTAGAATGTGGTTTTCTTGGGGCATAGTATGCCAGACTTGAAACGAGGAACCCGAAACTTGTATTGGTAGTTGTTTAGGCCCTCGCGTCAGAAGGGTTTGACTAGGCTTCATATCAGTGCTGGTTCAAGGGTCCTTTTAACTTTTCGGGCTAACAGGAATTTGTTGGCGGTTCAAAGCTTAGGGTTTGGGCTAAGAGTTCCGGGCGGCGTCGGGCTTGGTTTAATGTTGGGTTCACGGTCCAAGGTGGTTGCTTCAAGTGGGGTTTAAGGATGTTGCATAAGGGTTTACGGAGCATCTGGGTTTTAGAGTTTCGGGATGCCTTCAAACAGACTCAAACCGAGAACAAAGCACTGCCCCAAACGAGGCTCTTGTCAAACCCGAACATGATCCCTTTGCCCCAATACTCTTCAAGTCGCATCATCATACGTATAAGCATACGTGTTGTTATTCTTGATACCATTCCTTACCACTGCGAGCACTGTTGCTGTGCTTATGACCAACCACCCCACACCCAAAGGAACCTTTCCGAGCGAGCCGCCCGAAATTCAATTCAGCCTCCGAGCCTGAGGCCTCCCTAACGACTGAATGGCCCGAAAAATCGCTTAGAAAGTCCCAACCCGCCTACTAAATTCAGACCCCCTCCGATTCCCTGAGAAAGACAGCAGCCCCATGGCAGTCCCAGCCAAAGGCAAAAGCCCCTAGTCCCTGCAACAGGCCTCTACCAGGGTCAGCACTGGACCGGCCCCCTCCACTCCCGCCATCTCCGCCGTGCGGCGCTCCATGGCGGTCTCCAGGCCCTGAAAAAAGCCAGGTAGAGCTTAAAGGTATTTTTGTGTTGAACTCCTTTTCCCAGATGAAGCACTAAGCTTGGGAGAAGGTTTTAGGCTTAGGATCCCCAAACCCAAACCCTAAATCTAGAACCCCAAAGGATTTCGATACCGCCGCGAAGTGCAGCCGAGTCTCGGAGAGGCAGCAATGCACTTTGCCCCTCAGCTTCACAGCCGCCTGTAGCAGTTTGGCCGTGTAGGAGCGTATATATAAGGTTGTTACAAGGGCGCGCTCAAAATATAGTTAGGGCTTCCCAAGGTCTTAGGCGGTTTTTGTAGGTTGTCGTGAGGTTTACGACTTGATGTTCTTTATAACATTGTGTATGGGGTTGGAAAAAACTGGGGTTTAAGCCACTGGAAACCTCATCCTTTGCAAGACACACTCCAGAATCCAAGCGCTACACACTCTAAGCCCAAAGTTAAGCCACGATCCCTTGTAGACGCCCATAGAACCCTTGCAAAATTCCTTTCATTACACAGAGACAACAATATTCCCACAAAACCCAAGAACCAAAACCGTAAACTCTCTTCTCACCCCCAACTATAGAACACACACAGAACCTTTAAGGAGCCTCGTTCAAGCCCTGCCCCAAAATCCTTAACCCTAAATCTCTAAATCGTATAAATCCTTCGCCCAGAATCCTAACCCCTAAATCCTCTAAGCGCTAAACCATGGCCTCCCGGAAGATCTTCTCCTCCTTGCTGTCGCTGCTTGAAGTGATCAGAATCAGTGCCTTCGAGAGATCTTGAGGATGGTCTGAGCTTTGTTCAAGTCGGATCTGAGGATTAGGGTTGAGGCTTTAGGATTTGTTCAAATCCTGAATTGAACAACTCACAGCAGTTGAGATTTCGGCACGTCACTTTTCAGCGATTCAGCATGATGAGGAGTCCAAATCATCGGTGCTCTTGAAGGTGCCTTCGATTTAAAGTAGAGGCTTTACGGCTATAGTATATATTGTGTTCCAGGAGCCAGAGACATCCCAGATTCTGAGACCTTCTCCAACCCCAAGCGTGACCCCAAACCACCGGCTGTGATCCCGGCCGGAACATTCTCCGGATTCGCAGAGAAGAGCTTTTCAGCGGTCTCCTGATCCATACCTTATTGATCAGTCTAGGTGTTTAGGGGTGTCCGAACAAAGAACCTTGAATCAGGAGCCTTCCTCCTGCTCGCTTTTCCCTAATCGGTGATCTGCAACCCAAGAACCCTACATAGCTGTGGCGAAGATACTCCCAACAGGATCGACAGTGCAGCCCAGATTCGCATGACCGTCGGTGTGCGTCGCGCGCTTACCCACCTGGTAAGGAGCACAAAATCCCTAAACCCAGCCATGGAGGAATCCGCACACCCCCAGAAGCGGAGATGAGGGTGCAAAGGTCTGTGGCTTTCAAGTTTGAGCCGGGGACCCTCAACGCCGCTGGTAGATTACTACCCTATATCAGACCTATCATCGGGTACTTTACCTGAACACCTCCTAAACCCTTAAACCCCTAAATCCCAAACTGCAAACCGCCAACCCCTGCAAACCCTAAACCCTAAACCCTAAACCTAAACCCTATAAACCCTAGATCCTACACCTAAACCCTATACACCCTAAACTTTA